GGGGGGGGGGGGGGGGAGACTGGGGGATGGGAGTGTAGGAGAAAAAAAAACGGGGGATGGAGAGGGTAGGGAAGAGAAAAACCTCTTTGGCTGCAACCCCAGATATACTGATATGTTCATTTAATTCTGCTTCAGACTCTTAGAAGCTCAAGGAGTTAAAACCTGTGCACAGAAGGGGGGGGTGGGAAAAAATGAGGAGGAGAGGGTTTCAGCGCAGTATGTAAAAATCCTTTAGGCTCAAACGATTCATGTGCTTCTGTGAGTGTGTGTATTCTCATATGAAACAAATACATATGTAGACAGAGCTGAAATCCCTAGTCCATCAGCACACGTGTGTGCATTTCAGTATGGCATTTCTTAGAGAAGTGAGTGCCTGTTACCTTTTAAACCAAAGATCAGGGAATTGAAGAGTTTGAGGGTGAGCAGTGCAGAGGGGTTTTGGGCAGAGTGGTCCATGCCCAGGGACAACTCTTGGTGAGAATGAATGAAGTTCTGAGAAATCACATGACTGGCCATCTTGGTTTGCAGGTCCCCCCGTGGCCGTGGGAATGAACATTGACATCGCCAGCATCGATATGGTTTCTGAAGTCAATATGGTGAGTATTGAGGCTTATGGCTTTGTCTTTGTAGAACTTCCTGTGGGGACAGGGAGGAGGAGGAGCCAGCTGCTGGGGGAAGGGGGAGCCGGGAGTATGTGTGTGAGGTGGGGGCAAGGGCAGGGAATTTTGCCTTGGAATCCACTGTGTTCGAGGTTACAGAGCCTGCTCTTTCTGATTTTTTCCAACTTGGTTTGGATCCTTGAGATTGAGGGAAAGCCACTGAAATGCATCACACATTCAAGTGTAAAATGCAGCCACGTGCAGGAGACCCCCTGCAGAAACCACATTTCCTAAGACTCAGTGAGAAACCCAGTTCATCGATTGATTTTCTGGCTTGGGGGTGGGGCCAGGGGAAGAGGGAAGGATTTTGACTTGATATTTAACGGCGACTGTAACCTACAAACTAATGGTAACAAAGACCCGGGAATACTGATGCCCACTTGTTGATTTCAGAGATCACTTCTTTACAGATAATGACAAGCCTCCCCCACCACCTCCCGCCTCAATCCCGTTGTTTGCTGCTTCCTTTAATCCCTTCTGCCCACCAGAATAAAATAAAAATTGGCTACCCTGTTTCTATAAGGTAGGCTCAGACCTGTACGTCATCTCCAATTTCTTCAGTAATATTATTCACTACGTGTCCTAAGCTTGTAGAGTTTATTGACTGCAGTACTACTTAGTGGCTACCTCCCTGGACTTGGGGCAAGTGCAAAGGGAAGAAAGCCTGTGTGTTCCCAACCTGGAAACACGTGCGGGGGGGTTTGCTTCATGCAGGAGCGCCCCCTGCTGCCAATATTTGAGCACTGCAGACATACAAAGCCGTACAAGTGTCCCAGATACCCCCACTGACTTGGGGCATATTTCCAGTGTCTTTTCTACTCTGCACTTCTAAAGTTTCCCCCTTTGGAAAAGTTCCCCCAGATAGACCACATTCCAGTGTTGCTTTCATTCTTGATAGCACACAGCACATTTCAGAAAGTTGTGTTACGGCATAGTTCTGTCTATAGATTGGATGAATTATTAAAGAAAGGGGTATAGTGTGTAAGCTTTTATGCAAAACATTTTTAAGTCAGCCATCAGGACTTGAAAGTCAGCTCTCGACATTGCAGAGATTAGCATATTCCCAGAATTTAAACAAAGAGAAGGGTCAATTGCCAGTATAGTCCTTATACACTGTCCAAAGATAAGAGATAATCCTGAGGTTTCACAAGGTTCTGAAGCATATGAATATTATGTTATGTGATATGAATACTTAAGGGAGTGCTCAACTATTTCAGTGATGTTGAATGATGTAAATCTTCTTGTATTTTAATTTGGGGAAAGTTTTTATCATACAGAATATAAACACAGATGAATGACAGTATTTGATGTTTCAGAAACATAGATTTCTCTCACATTAGGAAAATCCCCTGTGTGGATAAAGAACATTTCTTGGGAAAACTATTTAATTTCTCAGATACACAAATGTTCCCTTTTGTGGAATTTGAGAGGTTTTTCTTAAGTTTATATTTTGAGTTCAGGCATAAAATTTAAATGTCCTGCCGTGGATATTCCCTAAGTCTCAATAACTTGAATCTAAACTATGTTGTTAAAAAGAAAATAATGTAGAAATCAGGTGTAGTTCTGTATGTCCTACATGTGATTGATTCAGACTCCTTTGCATTTGACTTTTTTTATGCTTGTGTCCCAGTCCTACACTTTATTTTACCTCCACATCCCTCTTTAGAGCATCACAAAATGGGATTTTGTGGGAAAAAAATCAGGAAAAATTTAGAATCCAAAGAGACAAATCATGAGACGACTAGAGATTGCTGCAATAGGCTAGCTAAGAACTTAGACGCATAACATTGTTGAGAGTGGTAGTTTTTGTTTGTCTTTTTCCTTTAAGCTCTGTTCGCTTTTTTGCCTGCATGCAACATTTTGGAGAGATATCTGAAACGGACACAATGCCAAGACCTGCTAGTCAAAATATAGATACAGCTAAGGAAAGGTGTCATCACTTAAAGCTATTTACCGTTGCTAAAAAATCATGGGATGTTGAAAGTGCAAAAATAAATGTCAGTTTGTAAATGGGACAACACTGCAGCACTAATGATTAGAACCAAGTGTTGAAAATCACAAGCCACATCCCTTTCTTACCCTAATGTAATGCCCATGGATTTGTCCAACTACAGTTTGACTTGTTGAAAAATTAACATGTATTTCAGTTAGCAATCTTAATGACCTAAAATTAATCTTTCAAGAAAAATTGGTTGGGATGTATGTTATTATTAGTTTTTAAATGACGGTTATTTGTTTGGAAGCAACAGATGGGAAAATTCATCACTGGTGTACAAATAACAAAAGATGCTTATGGCATGTTGTCCTCAGTATATAGGCCTAGAAGTGCTTAGATCTTTTGATTAGACTCAGTTCTGAAGAATGGTTGATTGATTATTTAAATGAAAACTCAAGATTGATTATTAGACACATTTCTGCCTCATTATCCTTTGTGGCCTGCAACCTTTGGTAATTGGTAACTTTCTCTTATTACAGTGCATCTTCCTTTGAAGAGTGGTAGGCACCAGGCTGTTTAAATTGTCATTGACTCTTATACTGGACAAATAAATGTCCATGTCAGTGTGATGCTCCTTGTAAGTGACAATGACAGAAAGACCCTGAACTAAATTAAGAGTCTTAGATGCAGTTCTCCTGCTAATGCTGTGTCATTCTGTGGATATTCACAGTCAGACTGGACTCACTTTCTTCATGAGTTGAAGGACAGTAGTAGTCCCTTTTACCTAAATCAGGTGGCTGCCAGAATGAATAAAATGATATCCAGGCATGCCTCATTTTGTTGAGCTTTGCTTTCTTGTGCTTTGCAAATACTACGTTTTTACAAATTGAAGGTTTGTGGAAAACTTGGATTGAGCAAGTCTGTAGGTGCCATTTTTCCAACAGCCCGTGTTTATTTTGTGTCTCTGTGTCACATTTTGGTAATTCTCATAATATTTCAGACTTTTTCATTTTCTATTATGGTGATCTGTGATCTTTGTTGTTACTATTGTAATTGTTTTGGGACACCATGAACAGTGCCCATATGAGGCCGCAAACTTGCAAGATAAGTGTCCTGTGTGTTTCGACTACTCCACCAATGAGTTGTTCCCCCATCTCATTCTCTCTCCACAGGTCACCCTATTATCTGAAACACAACAATATGGGAATTAGGACAATTAATAACTCTACAGTGAGAGTTGCATGTCTCTCACTTTAAATTAAAACTAGAGATGATTAAGATTAGTGAAGGAAGCACATCAAAAGCTGAGACAGACTGAAAACTAGGTATCTTATGCCAGTTAGTCAAGTTGCAGATGCAAAGGAAGAGTTGGTGAAGGATATTGTAAGTGATACCTCAGTGAACACATAAAAGACAAGAAAGTGTAAGACGTTGAGAAAGTTTGTGTGGTTTGGACAGAAGATGTAACCAGCAATATTCCCTTAAGCCAAAGCCAGATTACCAGAACAAAACCCTAACTCTCTTCAGTTCTATGAAGGCTGAGAGAGGTAAGGAAGCTGAAGAAAAGTCTGAAGCTAGCAGAGGTTCATTCCTGAGATTTCAGGAAAGACACCATTTCCCTATCATAAAAGTGCAAGGTGAAGCAGCAACTGCGGATGGAGATGCTGCAGCAAGTTATCCAGAAGATCTAACTAAAATCGTTGATGAAGGCGACTATTCCACACAACAGACTTTAAATGTAGACAAAAGAGCCTTGTATTGGAAGAAGATGACATCTAGGACTTTCATAGCTAGAAAAGAGAAGTCAGTGCCTGACTTCAAAACTTTAAAGGACAAGCTGACTCTCATTAGGGGCTAATGCAGTTGGTGACTTCAAGCTGAAGTAAATGTCCATTTGCCATTTCCCAAATCCTAGGGCCCTTAAGAATTATAAATGTATTCTGCTTGTGCTCTGTAGATAGAAAAACAAAGCCTGGATGAGAGCATATTTGTTTACAGCATGATTTACTGAATAGTTTAAGCCCACTATTGGGACCTACTTCTCAGAAAAAAAAGATTTCTTTCAAAATATTACTGCTCATTTACAATGTACTAGTCATCCAAGAACCTTGATGGAAATATGTAAGGAGCTTAATGTTGTTTTTATGCCTGTTAACCCAACATTCATTCTGCAGCCCATCGATCAAGCAGTAACTTTGACTTTCAAGTCTTATTATTTAAGAAGTATATTTTGTAAGGCTAAGGATGTCATGGATGGTGATTCCACTGATGAATTTGGCCAGTTAATTGAAAACCTTCTTGAAAGGATTTACCATTTTAGATCTAATTAAGAACATTTGTGATTCGTGGGAGCAGGTCAAACTATCAGCATTAACAGGAATTTGGAAGAAGTTCAATCCAACCCTCATGAATGACTTAGAAGGGTTCAAGAATTTAGTGAATAAAATCACTGCAGATGTGAAAGAAATAGCAAGAGAACTAGCATAAGAGATGAAGCCTAAAGACATGACTGAATTGCTGCAATCTCATGAGTAAACTTTAATGCATGAAAATTTGCTTTTAATGGGTGAACAAAGTGGTTTCTTGCAATGAAATTTACTCCTGGTGAAGATGCTGTGGACATTGTTAAAATGACAACAAAGGATATAAAATACTACATTAGCTTAGTTGATAAAGGAGCAGCAGGGTATGAAAGAATTGACTTAAATTTTGAAATAATTTTTTCTGTGGGTAAAATGTTATCTAACATCTTCACATGTACAGTGAAATCTTTCATGGGAGGAAGAGCCCATTGATGTGATATACTTAATTGTCTTATTTTAAGAAATTGCCACAGCCACCCCCAACCTTTAGCAACCACCACCCTGATTGATCAGCTATCAACATCAAGGTGTGAAACTCCACCGACAAAAAGATTACTACTCGCTTAAGGTTCAGATGTTTGTTAACATTTTTTAGCGATAAAGTTTTAAAATTGAAATATGCACTTTTTTTAACATAA